ATATTTCAGGACAGAAAAACGATCTAGTGTCACATTGCACATACATCATTCTGCACAGTGAAGCTCAAACATCCAACTGCAGGAACAAGAAGAACAACATTTAGGGACTTTAAAAACTAACAAAATACTTTATTTATGGGCCCTGACACATATGGATGAGTGTCATCTTGTCGAACCGACGCGTATTGATCGCTCTAGTGTTCTGTCAAACCTTTTTTGATTGCACTGTCTACTGTAAAACATCAGTTTAAAAACATTAAATACAGCCCAGATTGAGATGTACACAGTCTATAGGACGTGAGAGTAGGAAATGAATTTAAATCCAGATTTCATGTTCTTCAAGGCAAGAAGCAGCACACTTGCACCAGTCCACAGATGTGTCTGGTGGTCACTGCGGAGGTGGGTTTAACGGACTGGAGGAAAATCAAACTGTCGGGATTCAGTTGCGCTTTTTCTGTCGCACTCCGACTTCCTCTTGTGACTCTGGAATACACTGGAATCCTATCAGCATTCCTATGACGGAGAAACCTAGAAAAACACATGGAGATGCTATTAGGATTCTTTACAAGATGTTTTATATATAATTTATACATTAATGTATCCACACTCACTTGCCACAATGAGAGGTGCCATGACCCCGATAGTCAGGGGTGCAGTTTTATAGATGAAAGCTTCAGAGAGAAAGTGGCCCAACGCCAACACAAATGTCCATAAGGTGATGTGATACAGCCTGCAGGAGTCAGTATGACAGAGTAAGAACATGCGAGGGTTGACAGCAGAAACATGATGCAGGAAGTGAGAATCTGTCTTACGTTCTGTTCTGGATATCAATGGCACAGGAGCAGCGAATGATCGATGACAGCAACGTCCAAATGCCAAATGTTCGAGCCTGGAGACCGTTGACTAAGAAAATGGGAAGAAAAATAACACACAAGAGTCTGACTGATAAATCAGCTGGGCCGATTTTAAAGACTGATATCAGCTCAAAACAAACAATATATTAGCACATATATATGTATATATATATATATATATATGTCAGCTGATAAGTAAAAGAAAAAAAAAGAAATTGGATGTTTTCTTTTGGGTCATTTAGAAGCAGTGTCACTTTTACAGTGTCCAGAGAGTCCTGATATTTTATTGTTTTAACATACATATAAAGATACATACATCTTTAATTCTTTAACTTTAAGCTAATCTATGTAATGTGTGCTCATTGGCCACTATTGAGTATCCTTATCAGATTTATTTAAACTCATAAATATTGGTATTGGCATTAATGTGGTCTAATACTTATTGATATGATATGAAACAGTTGCCTTTTGCCTAATGGATATCACATCTGACTATATTTATTTGGTGTGTCAGTTATTAGTTATCCTAATAGTGTGAGATACAGCTTTAATGTTGTCTTAACCGCTGCATTACAATTAGAGATACACACTGCAGGCAAATGTTTCTATTCAATGCTACTTTAAAAACTTGCACATATATTTTCAGGAATCACATCACCAACTCCTGAACACTTGACAGCCTCAGCATGAGTTCATGTTGTGAAGACCATGAAGTTCTGTCAGTCAAACCTTCATTTCACTCACCAAACTCTGGTGTGCCTGTGTAAAGCTTCTCTGACAGAAAGCTGTGATCTCTGAAACTCTGCACTGTGTTTCCCATGGCGATGACGGACACCATCACCAGCCAGCTCCTCAGGACGTTCAGAAAGCGACTCATGTTCACTGTGTGTGAGACGCACCTGTCAGAGAGGAAGAGTCAGTGCAGGATACAGCACATCAAAGTGAGGGCCAGTGTCAGGATAACAGATGTCTGCTGCCTGCTACCTGACTAACACATCACAGAGAGACTGTCTGTCAGCTAGCAAGTGATATTCAGCAATAACTAACGTGACATAACCGGCTATAGCTGCTGAAACCTGGTTTAAATAAAATTAATACGCCTATTATGGTAAAAAAATAACATGAATGGTGGTTATATTTACCTGGTGGCGTCTATTAAACTACAAAATGGACATGTTGCTGAGAGAAAACATAAGAGAACGGGACACGAAACAATAAAGTGGGACCAAACGAGTATGGCGTTATGTTTCACAATGGTAAATCTGTCAATCTTCCACTGTGGGGTTTGACCAATGACAGAGCTTAAGAAATGGCTCCATCGAATCGTACCACTCATATGATTGGCCCACACGAGCGTTCGGGTTCCGTTTACTTGCTTCGCCAACCAATGGCAATCAAGCAATCGTTCCAACAAAGAGTACATGTGGAGCGAGAGAATGCTCTGTGACTTTTTGTGTTTTCGGTTAAAATATTTAACAGCTCCGATTCCGTACAAAGAGTGCTAAGCATTTCAAGTATTTTAGTTTATAATATAATTATGATGTTATTTTAGTCAAGCAATATCTGTATTAAAAGATTGTGGTCTATGATATGAAGCCGTTTTAAGCCGTTTTGTCAGTCATGCATTAAACTGTTCATTCTCTCGGTTCATTGGTTAATTATAGACCGTAATTTAATTTATTACGAACGTTCCGGATTATCCTAAGACTATATTCGCTATTTGAGAACAATTACCATTTCAGACTGAGGACATGCTCTCTCTTTTAGTTTGACAGTTTCGCCGCACGTCAACATCACAGGATGGATGCGGCGCAAAATTTGGTCAGGCGGACAAATGTTCTATAAATATCCTCAGTGAGTGCGCATGCTCCGTTCTCTGTTGCTATTCAGTTGTTGTAGTTACCAGGAAGATTAACCGCGATGATCAACTGGCCCTGGTGATAACTGCCAGCTAGCAGCTAGCAGCTAGCAGGCTCTCAGACAGAAAGGCAAGTTGACGTTGCTGTGTATTTGTCTGACATTATAACACGTGTACTTAAGCGGTGTCAGACTTGTCAGTACCTGAAGGCGCATTTTAGCTCACCGTTGTCTGTCCGTCTGTCTGTCTGTCTACTGTTATAGAAAGATATCGTTAATTAACGTTAATTACCTACACAAGTAGCGCTACAGAGCAGCTGTTCTCGGCTAACTGCGCGCTAAACGTGAAGCACTGTTTCTGTACGAATGTGACTTTCTTTGCTAGCGACCCTCAGTAACGTTATTAATGTGATGTGTTCATTGTGAGTTGAGCTGAGACATTCAATGAGTGCAATGTTTCTGCAGTCGGAGGTTAAAGGTGCCATGGTAAAACCCAGACACTTGATCCCAGGAAGACATCACCGGGCAGCTCGTCTCCTTTTACTGTGAAGATGCCAGCTGTCGTCCAGGGTAAGGAGGACTCTGAATCCTCCTCAGAGGACGAGCAAGAGTAAGTATATAAGAGCAAGTTCAGAAAACTCTGTCTGCTGTAGAAATCACCATAATAGTGACTGTGACTGCAGCGCTCATCCTCCACTCTCTAGCATTAATATAATCAGTGTCCCCTAATCTTGAAGTTTCTATCTCTGGTTATTTTTTCTGTTGTGATGTTTATGCTGCCTGCAGTCAGCTCAAGTCACTTTCATTTAGCTCAATATTGCAAATCTAACAGCTATGACACAGCCCATCCTCAGACCCTTTGTTTGGATTAGGAAACATCCTGAAACAGTTCTCTTTGTTGTCGTACACATCCAAATGCAAAACCACCTCAGTGTCACATTTTAGCCTTTAAATACCGGATCTGTGCAAACGTCTGCATTAGAATTCTTGTGCTCTACATTATGTTTGTATGTTTTAATACCTACGTTTCACTTTATGAATGTTGTTTCATTTTTCTGTGGCGTGCACTTTTGTAGGAGTATCTTTTCTTTCAAAACATTCTCGTCCCTCGATACGTTTGCGTTGCTTCTCCAGCAGTTATAACTGAATCTATTGAGGGTCTGTTGGGTATTGCTCACAGTCTCTGCTGCTTGTGGACCTGGCTGAAGTACACAGCATTTAAATACCCTCCTTTAGTGTCAGTGAAGTTCTTAGCCTAGTGATCCTCTTGGAACACTTAACACAAGATTTCCCTCTGAATAGAGTTTACTGTGACACCATGCGGAGTAAAAGCATTTCTTTTGTCCATACCATAGTCTTTGTCTTCACAGCCTGCTGTAGTTTATTGAATGTGTAATGTAATATATGCATAATTACAGAAGATGTCCTAAACTCTGCTTAATAATTAATGCCAAGACACATTTAGATAAAATGAAGCCTTTTAACTGAATGAAGTACATCTAGCTCTAGATTATAGCTGCAACAGTTGGTCTATGTTAATTTGTCTCTGCCAACTAATTCCCTCTTAAGCTTTACTTAGTCATACCTTACTAAGAGCCACTGTGCCTGCTTTTAGTCTAATTTCCAAGTCCTGAATTAGTTTGGATTGCTTAGTATTAAGGTTTGACCTTCAGGTGACCAATGCTGTTATCAGTTTAGTTTTATTAAGGACAGTTGATATTAGTTGACTAGTTGATTATCGTGAGGGAAGGTTCATGCCGACAACCCTAAATAATGCAAAGGACAACAACGTATAGTATTACAGGCAAGTACAGGAGGTACATAGCACATGTATGTACATGTACTTCACATGTACAGTACAAAGCATGTATGGAAACCAGCAGCACACAAAACTAAACGTTATTTTGCAGCATAGAGGCTTTAAAATTCCTTTAATCCTTTCTTTAACTCTGCTTTTTATTGTATTTGGTGAGCAACATTAACATAAGGCCAGCCGCTTTCTAATATTACTGTTATATATAAAACTTCAGGGTAACCGCTTTGACCTTGTTGTCCATCCAATAAACAGATTTTTTAGTTTCTTGCAGAAGCACCATGTGGCATGTTGTTAAGTGTCTCACATTCAGAGGTCTATTCTAGGCAAGTGATGATCATGCAGTGCCTAGCTGTGGTTTTCTCCATCAATTCTGACTGTACTATACACACATCTTGTGTGTGTATAGTATCTCAGTATTCTTGATGGTGGTTTATGTTCAAAATAAACAACAGATAAATACTTTCAAAATACCTTTTTAGCGACATTCAACCACCACAGTGGAAAAGATATCTGCTGTATTGTCTGACAGACCTGGATACCAGGGGCAGTAGTTGTTTACATGCCTCTCCCCCTTATCAAGACCGTTCATGCCTGATTGAGTTCTACTCCATCTTCATGCTACCTTATCTTTTTTTAGCCCCCCCGATAAGCACGCTGTGTCTGGTACTATCAGACAGCCTGCAGTTTTATATGTGTTTGTTAGGACAGTACATGGGTTTGTTAATGCCCAGCAACTCCTGAAACTGTGTGTGGCTCCGTCTCTATCGGCCTGACTAAAACAAACACCATGTCAGGATACATTCCCTCTGCATTAGGTAAACTACACATATGGACTAGATCACATCATCCAGGGAGTGAACGCCAAAGATTCTCATCAGTGCATCTGATGTTGTTACTTGGAAGTTTTCTTTAAATTTTGACTGTTCTTGCCTGGACTGTAACTGTGAATCATCTAAATGTTTTGTCCATCAGAGACCATCCCTGCATTGCCTGGAGTGGCCTTAGCAAGAGCATCCCAGTTCTCTTGTTTTTCCCTGAAGCTGCTGTTTCAAAAGATGGCAATATCTGCTCTATTGGAGGTAAATTACAATTTGTTGAAGCTAAAAATAGCTATGACAAGAGTACAGATAATATGATTAGAGCCTTTTGTTGTTGTCTCGTGTTTAATTTGCTTAGAGCGATATCATATGGCCTTCAAGATTGTGCGCACAGAGAGCCGCCTGGTACGAGGACTACTCACCAATCATGGATTCCATGAGGTAATATTCTCCAGTAAACTGTGCAAATTTAAAAGATTAGACTAAATCTTGTAAAAAATAACAAAAAAACGCATTGTTTTTTAGCTGCACATGCTATTTAAATACCTCTCTGCTGTGTAGGATAAGGGATAGTAGAGCTGTTTTTTTTTCTTCCTTCGACCGATAATGCCGATGTCAAAGCCCGGGAATGCACCCATGGAAAAAAAAACTAAATGACCTCAAGAGAGCATTAATCCTGTTTCACGAGGGCACACAATCCCCATTATTGCTCTTTCCAAGCAGTTACAATTAATTCCCTTTTTATTTCATTTCAATGCTTCTTGACTCCCGCTAACCCATCATCAAAGGCAGACGAGTGTCTACCACAGCTGCGACGGAGCCAAACTTTAATAAGCCTTTATTACAAACATCTGGCTCTCCCCTAGACACCGAGCGGCCATGTGAATTCTGCCTCCTAACGAACTGTTGGAATAAAACAAAACAAAACAGATAAAGTAATGCAAGGGTGATGAAAATCTGCGAGTTGGCCTTCAAGATAATTTCTAAAGAGCCGGCTGTATTTCTCCAGGTTAGTGGTAGAGTGACTGATCTGCTTCTTAGATTTAATTTAACCGAGCTGTCATATGTGATGGACATCAGAATATAATACTGCTGTTGGTGACTGGAAACTCTACAGAGCGTATTCAGTATGAACAGCAATGGTTATACTTGGTTTTACGCTTTATTTAATGATCCCGTTGCGACGGTTATTCCCTCTGTGTGTTCTGAATCTAAATTATTTGATCCAGCTTGTCATTTGACGTCAATCATTCTGTCTGTTTTTCAGGTTCACCCGAACAGTAATGACTTTAACCTCATGTGGACAGGATCTCACCTCAAGCCTTACATACTACGCAGCCTTCAAGACTTCCAGAAGGTCAACCACTTTCCCAGGTATAATAGAGTGCTCAAATGTATGAGTGTATTTGCCACTGTGTTATAAATATCACCACTGAGCTGTTCTAAGCCTGTCAGTTCAGGCAATGTGTGTGTTGGCTTTCACTGCAAAGCATTTAGTTTGGACCGGTGCCTCTCTGAAACATGAAATGAATCATACTGTCAGGCAGAGGGCGATCTATTGCTGTTATGTATGCATATATTTTTGTTCTGTCAGTGTTGAACCTGTGGAGCGGTTTTAAAACTGGAGGCTGTGCTCATTTCCAGGTCATACGAATTGACGCGCAAAGACCGTCTGTATAAAAACATCCAGCGAATGCAGCAGACTCATGGCTTCAAAAACTTCCATATCGTTCCTCAGACCTTCGTGCTTCCCTCAGAGTTCCAGGAATTCTGCAGTAAGACATCTCTCACCGAATCCTCGTTGTCAAAGCAGACCTCTCTCTATGATATCCTTACAACCATTCAAAACATATACATTATACGTTTTTATTTGTCTGAATCTCTTCCTGTCTTTCCTGCCTCAATCTCAGATTGTTTTGCCAAGGACAAGGGCCCGTGGATTATTAAACCAGTAGCATCTTCAAGAGGGCGAGGCATCTACTTGGTCAGCAATGTGAGTGAATTTTCCCACGGGAGTTATCACTCTCGGATTCAGTGGTTTAGATATACATAGAGGCATATAGACAATACATACAATCTTCATGTCTACATTCATACATACCAGCTTACAGCAGTGTCAGCCAGGCAGTTTGTTCAGGGCTAGAGGTTAAAGTAGGGCTGCAACTTTAAACTATTTTTGTCAACAGTCTAAATTCTATATTTATAGATATTTACTATGTTCACTATGAAGTAAAACAGGGAAAATCAGCGAATCTTCATATTTGAGAGGCTGCTAGACCCAGAGAATGTTTGGCATTTTTGCTTGAAATATTAATAAAAATAATAACAGTAACCATAACCATAACAATTATGATAATAATATTTTCTGGAATTTAAAGCTCTGCAAAAATCAACCAAGTAAATGGACCTTGTAATAAGTTTAATTCTGTCAACATTTTGGTTATTTTATTCCTGAATTCTCAAGCTCCTGAATAATTTTGTGTAACAGAAATATTTTTTCTTTTCTTTCTTATCCCTTAAATTTAACGGTCTGGAACCAACGCTCGATTACCCCTTTTAAACTAATGCAGTGACCCAGAGTAAACCAATATTTGAGGTTGAAGTGAATAAACCAAACCACGTTTGTATAGATGGGGATATTGGTTCACTTAAAAATCATGTTCTTTAAATATGCTTTTTGTTTACTACGGTGTTTATAGCTAGTAAAACACCAGATATTCTGTCACTATTTTGCATGTGAGCTCTGTATGAGTGAATCTGTGTGTTAAAGGAATACGTTTTAGGAAATGAGCTTATTTGTTTTCTTGCTGAGAAGATTGATACCAGTCACACGTCTGTAGAATAACACTGAAGCTACAGCCAGCAGACGGTTAGCTTAGGTTAGCACAGAATGAGAACAGAGGGAAAGAACTAATCAACTTTTTTGTTTGTGTATAAAAAGTTTCCTCTGATTCATGTGTTAACACAGATTCACAATAATGGCAAAACCAGTGGGAGTTAACTGTACGCATACTGAAATACTGTGTGAAACAGTCAGTTGGCCAGATGTTATTTGTGTGTGGGGGGGTGTACAGATACAGCTGTCTTTGAAATAAGTATCAACCAGCGTTTCAGACATTAAGTGTGGAGTAAATCACACTCTTCCAAGGCCCTGGCTTTTGGAGGAGCTCAACAAGGTTCTCACTCTTGGAAAACATATGCACAATTCTTCTTCTTCTCAGGCATTTTTATGAAACAGTGGAAAGAATGTCAGAGCAATATTTGGAGAGAAGAAAGAAATACGTTCATTTTTTTTGTTCAGGTTTTCTCTGAACTGTAGCCAGCACTGAGGTTACCCTGCCCCCCCTCTCCATCTCTTCTCAACTTCGCCACCTGCAACACATTTCAACCTCATAAATGACCCATCTCCCACCACCAGATTTTGTTTTTATAGGCTGTTATTTAACGTTGACCTGCTATGGCCAGTGTCATTGCAATCTCCCACTCTTGATCTCTTGATCTGATGATTGTTTGATGTTAATGGTTAACAGCAGTGTCACATCATCTATTTGGAATTCAGCATTTAATGCTATTGTATATGAATTAATATAATGATGGAGTGCTGTGAAACAGAGAACATACTCACTTTAATTCATGTTGAGCCCATGATTAGGTTGCACTTGCCCAGTTGAAAATGACTACATCTTTTCTGTAGTTTGAACTAAGGTTATTATAGTTAACTAAAACTAAACTAAAAACTAAAATAGGTGTGCAAAAACATTTTGGTTAATTGAAATAAAAATAAAACCCCTAAACAGGAACTCAAACGATATTGTTTTATTTACAAAACTAACTAAAATGAAATAAAAAATATACAGGGAAAGTGGTCAAATATGTCAAGACAACAAGTATGAGAAGGCATTGGTGCACGCGTTTATTATTACTCATTACTATGAGTCAGTGTGTTTGTATTGCAGTACTTATTCTGAACTTCTTAAATCTTGCCCTGACAAATCAGAATCAGAATCAGAAATACCCCCCACATTATAATTCAAATATATTAAAACTAACACTGAAACTAATAAAAACTAAACTGAAATGAGCAAACCCACCCTGGACACTAACTGAAAAAATGAATTAAAAATGACATGTAACTAAAAACTAATGAAAACTATAATACTGTAATATTAAACTATAATAACTCTTGTTTGAACATGTGGAACGTTAAAGCAGCTTTAAACCTGTTAAGATGATTATGATAAATGCTGCCTGTGTTAATTATGTTGTCTGGTATTTGTTTCTGTGTGTCATCTGCAGCCAAATCAGATTTCAATGGATGAAAACATCTTGGTGTCTCGCTATATTAATAACCCATTACTAATAGATGGTGAGTTCTTCTTTGCCACTGAATCGCTACAGACGCAGCTTAATGTCGAAGCTTTGTTTTTGGTATTCTGAATAACCTGTGTGACTTTTGTTTTTGTTTACAGAGTTCAAGTTTGATGTGCGGCTGTACGTGCTGGTAACTTCATACGATCCACTCCTCATTTATGTGTATGAGGAGGGCCTGGCGAGGTGTGTGGGTTTTTGCATTGTTTGTGACATTATTGGGGTAATGAACACCCGACACCACAATGATCACTGATCATTTTTTGGTGGCAAAAGAAAATATTACAGCACAATTGACATTTAAAGGACCTGTGTGTAGAATTTAGTTGCATCTAGTGGCATAGTAGCAAATTACTACTCCCTCGCTTTTTCCCTCCAGTGGTTGGTTTATCCGTTCTGGGCTACTGTAGAAACATGGTGGCTCAACATGGCGGCCTCTAGGCGACCTGCAGCATCAGTAGATATAAAAAGGCTCATTCTAATGAAAACATAACAATTCGTACTCTCAGGTGATTATGCGTGTTTATGCATATTATATCCCATTAATGCCAATAGATCAGCCTAAATGTTACTCACTGGACCTTTAACAACAAATATACAGTACAAACCAGAAGGCACTTGAGAGAATGCACTTCTTAAAAGCCCCGAATGTGAAGAGTTTCAAGTAAGTAAATTCAGTATTGAGAGTAATTGACCACAGATATATTTTACATGTGCAGTATGAATAATTAAAGAAATCTACCATCATTTATTATCAGCAATTAAGCTCTCCGTCCTTCAATCCTTGTAACACTTTCTTAGTGCTCTGGTGCAGACACTGCCTCTTTCGTGCACTTGAGGCACATCCACTGGTGCTCATCCAGTGCCCAGAAGAGGGCAGCCTTAACTTTTCAGACCAACTGCTGTGCAGCGTGTGTTGTGGTGGTGACTTTGAAACAAAGCGCTCTATTGTTCCACTTGTAGGATGTGCTCATCAAATGTTGCTGATTGCACCTTGGTGTAATTGCACTATATTTATTGGAGGTTAGTATTTAGAGCAAGAATCATTTATTAATCCACAAAGAGGCTATTATCAGGCGCAGGTAGGTCAGGAGGGAGTAGATGATTTATGGAACGACTGGCTCTGTGGTTTACTCTGATAGGGGTACGTGCTGGAGTTTTGCCCTCTTGTTTGCTGGCTTGATTATCAACTGCGAGCAATAAATCGTGGCCAAATTCTGAATCCCACTTTTATCTCTTGACATTCCTTTGGGTTGTGTTGGTATTCAGGTACACAGTACGTGCCAAGGAATTCTCATTATTGCACATGTGGCATCCACTCCTCTCAAACACTGCCAGAAACTAATCTCTCTCCCAAGTGCCCCTATCATTCAGTCAAGCATCAGCCGCATGAATGTGGTCATTATGGCAGATAAATATGTAGTGAAATTGTTGGATGACAAGAGTTTTTTTTCTTTTCTTGTACAAATAAACCTGTCTGTCTACAGATTTGCTACAGTCAAGTATGACCGGACTTCGAAAAATATTAAGAACACGTTCATGCATCTCACTAACTACAGCGTGAACAAAAAGAGCAGCGATTATGTCAGGTAACTTTCATCAGTGAAGAACATACATTGTTGACTCATCCATTTATTACAACATGAACGTTTGAAGTGCATTTCTTCCCTTTCAGTTGCGATGACCCTGAAGTTGAGGATTACGGGAACAAGTGGAGTATGAGTGCAGTGTTGAGGTATTTGAAGCAGGAGGGGAAGGACACCACATGTGAGTCAAACTGTCATTTTCCTCCCTTTCTCATTAATATTTTCCCTTTCGTTTTAATTTCAATGCAAAGGGAATGTTCAGTATAAATGACCCAGTCTGCAGTTGCATTTCTGAACCCCTGCTAAAATCTTTCCTTTAGATTCAACATAAACTGTCTTAAGTAGAATTTCTGATTGCCACAGAGATCATCATCATCATCTCTTAACTTTGTCTATTCCAGTGCTGATGAGACAGGTGGAGGACCTCATCATCAAAGCTGTACTGAGCGCTGAACTACAGATAGCCACTGCCTGCAAGATGTTTGTTCCCCATAAGACAAACTGCTTCGGTAATCATTTCCTATTCTTCTTTAAATGTTTTTGATCGCACAGTAAACCTGAATCTAGTCCACTAAGACGTTTACACCTGGACTGATCTAAACATCAGTGGCTATTTCAAGGTGAAGGGCAGAATTAGTAAAAACAAGCTGTCCAGGACAACAAAATGCTTGAGAATTGCAGCTTCGCAAGAATTTCGTTTGAATGAAATCTGAACTCTGGAAAAAATCCCTTTTTTTTTTTTTTTTGCTCACAGTGCACACTCACACATACAGTCATACACACACTACCACACCCCTCACATTTCCTTTCAGTTTCATATTCATTGTCCAGTAGTTCCTCTATACTATATCTCCACTGAGCCGAGCTGAGGTTATAGACAGTCACTCCTCAGTGTGGAGCCTTCCTGCCTGTTGCTGCCCTCTGACCGGCTGCCGGGTCGTGGAGGGCCTGTTGACTGAACCAGGAATTTGCTTCCTCCTGTCTGTTGCCATTCAGGTCTGCCTGATTTAGGCTGACTGTTTTCTTGGCTGCTCCTGCCTAGCAGCGTGCTCGTGTGAACTCCATTTTGGAGCCATTACCCATGTTAGTGTTGGCACTAATTGTCTGCGCTCTCTCTCTCTGTCTGGCAGTCTCTCTGAGATTTTGGGTTTGAAGCCGAGCACATCAGCCAAGCCTCCCTCAGCACCACTGTCTCTTTTTCACTCTCTTTTTCCTCTTCTCTCGCTGTTTCTGTTTGTTTATCATTCTCCCTCTCCTGCTCACACTCTCTTTCACCTCTCAGATGTTAGAAAAATAGAGGGCTTTGCAGTTGTGACAGGCTTCTGTAGACATAATAGCCCCCCACCCCTAGATTGGTGGTTGTTTGGGCTGTATTCACACCATCAGACAGTCGCCTGCATAAAGATTCTATCTGCACCCTAGCTTCGCCACTAGGTTCAAAAACCACATTAGCCCAGGGTGTGAATGGTGACCATGCAGGTATTTACGGAGAAATGAGGCTTACCAAGCCTCAACCTGGCTCTCGTACACAATTGACAGACACGAATAAACAACCAGATGACACATGTCTTTGGTGTGAGTGAATATCAGGAATTGAAGAACAAGTTTGCGGTTTCTCATTCATACACACATTCAGGTATGCCTGGAATATTTGTTGATACACATCCCCGTGTCCCTATCAAGAAATATCTTTATGGAACATTCAGTGATACCGTGTAAATTTATTTACTACGTTGCACCATATTTACATTCCTTAGCACATATAAACAGATCTCTACTTCTGCAAGAATTTCTGGAATAGATACTCAGGCCTACTGATGACACCACACTGGTGCCACTTTTTTTTCTATTTTTGTCCACATTGGATTTAAAATGAAACAATGAACAACAAAATAATGACGTTTATCTTTAAGGGTCTTTATAACAATGTTGAAATCTTATAGGTAAGCCTATAGAGACCTGTGGAGACATAGATACTGCAGCAATGGCATTGGGTACAAAAGCAATTAGGTTCTACACCTTTTACTAAGATACATAATACACTGCGGTCTGCTGTGAACATGCCCATTACCCTACTTCAATCATATCAGTTTACTATTGAATTTAGTGTAATTTTGTTGTCTTCAGATGGCCCCAAGCAAGTTAATTACAGCATTCATAGTCTGTCTACAGGATTAAGTTTCCAAAGAGAGACACTGACGGTTCCAGAGGACCACCCTCATCCTCTTTCTGTTGATCTGTCTGTCAGTGTGGTCATGTTGCATGCAAACTCCCTATGCGTGTGTGAGTATGTATTGACAGTATGAATACAGAGACATGTAGGAACCAGTGTGAGGCAAGCGTTTTTACAAACACACAGGTCTGTCTAAGCTTTAGGGAGTCCAGTCTAGTATCTTTTTCTTGTCTGTTAAAGTAAAATCTACCCAAACCACCAAGGAGTCATGTTCAGTCAGCCTTTGTCAGCTTCAGCTGCCTTTCCCCTTTCCTTGCACTTATCCTTACTATTTTCCCACTACTCGTGCAACATTACATTACACCCGGCATTCATCCTGGGCCTCAGCAGCTGCCAGTAATAGTAAACAGGTAAAGCATCAGAATGCAGGGCAGTGAATACATGTGTGTTAGGGCAGTCAATGTGCCGATAAAAGCAGCCATTGTTTAGAGTTTTTATATGGTCTCTGGCTTGTCTGGAAGGGAGCCATGCAAGATCATAAAGCACATTATAATCTTAATTTACTGCAAATTGTTCCCTGCCATTTTAATGTCTATTAATGGCTTTAATACAATGTTTATTGTTTTCAAATGGGATTTCTTCCCTGTGCTCAAATTGCACATCCGTATCTAAATGGGCATACTGTAACAAAATCTTTTTATAGCTCTGTAATGTCTCATGTGGGAAGAAATAAAAACAACAGATTTTTAGTTTTTACATTGGTAAGAATTGTGTGTGTGTGTGTGTGTGAGAGAGAGTGTGTGTCTGTGGGGAGAAAATGCCACCCATGCAGCTCCTTACCGCTGCCGTGTGATTAATGGACAGGCTTTTTTGCTGAGGGATGCTGATTACGAGATGTTTTGACTAAGATCTGATTAGCCAAGCCAAAGGCCTATTTTATTACACACAAAACATTCCACTTACTGGTCCTGTGTTCCACTGAACGTCCCTCATTAAGTGCTGAGTGTGGTTGGATCCCCCGTCTGTGAACCACTCTCCCTGTTTTACATTTGTCAGATACTCCCACACTCCACTGCAACAGTGTTGGTGTGCCTATGATGACAGTGTGGCTGCTGTAAAATTCTAAATCTTTTTAGGAGTGATTAATGGATTGGGCCCCACTATCATAATAAGGCTATAGAGTGTTAACCGTAACTTTAATTTGTTGTCCTCAGAGTGTTTTCAGGATTGTGGCTCCAAGCTGCTCTGCTGTGCTCCCTGCAGCAGCAGTGAAACAGTTCAGCAGCAATAATTTATCTCCGAGTGATGCAAGAGTAATTCAATTGTCCTCGCCTATGGAGAAAACACACATAAAGGACATACTTTATGTTGCTGTTGTTGTTGTGGGCCAACAGGCTGCATGGCCAGGGTGGGGAGATCATTGTTTTTGGGCGTTTGTCTCTTGTGGTGAAGTTTCCAGCAGCGCCCATCCAATAAGAAAAAAAAAAAAAGAAAAAAAGCTCTTCATCATCCCTTTTCTCTGTCACATTTTTTCTCCCCCTCCCTCTTTAATGGGTGTGATGTGGATGTTCGCTGCCTCTCCTCTCCTTGTCTGTGATGCTTGTTGTGGGCTCTCTGCGGGCACATTTAACAGCGCTCCCCTGGCAGCGGTCGAGCCATAGAACAAACGTGTCTAGCAGCGAGCGGCTCGGCAGGCTCATGGGGCAGGAGCGGCGTCTGCTCCTAATTGGGGGAAAATGCGCGGCACATGGAGTCTGCTTGTCGGGGGCTGGTGAGGTGGTGTAACACCTCCCCATTTTCCCCTGTTGTTGTGGTGCCACTGGTGAGGCACTACAAGCTCAAACCCATTTATTCCAGAACTATGTTCCCCAAGACTAATGCCTAAAGTTTTATGACACGGACTCTCTCCATCTCTCTTTTAGTCTCGATCGGTGTGTGTGTTTTTATACAGATGTGGATAGTATGGGATAAGTCTGCAAGTGGAAAATAAAATCCTAGTGCTCTGCGTAAGCGAGCACTTCTTAGCAGTGGGGGTCCAATCCATCCTCAGAAGTTAAAAATGTTAAAGATGGCAGTAGCAGCTTCTGTTGCACGTCTTGGCTCAGGGATGTATGGCAAACTTTGTTCAGCTCCATCATGAAAATAAAGTTTGCTGTTACACCAATTTGGACCTCATGATGCTAGCATATTTTGACCCATGTAATATACCCCAATGAACAAAGTTCAGTGTGCATTTACCTTGTCTCAATACAGCAATGAAAACATAAGTAGAGAAAAAAACGATTAATGTTTTCAGGTAAAGTTACGATCTCAAAAGAGTACTCCAGCCATTTAGTATTACGCTTCCATGAAGTTGGGGGACTCACAGGAGGGAGATTAAAACAGTAAAAATGGAGGCAGCATGGAAAAAAAATGTGGCTCATACATTTCCTTTAATGCAATTTGATAGCATCTTTTGTGAGAGACTGCCTGTCTGTGAAATGCCCATGTCTTTTAAACTCCATTTTGTGACACGGTCTATCTGTTTGAGAGTTGTAGTCTCCATGGCAACATGAGATAACCCTCATGAAATCATCAGTTAACGGTTTTTACAGGCTGAGGAGTACTCTTCATCTTGTTATGTAAAATCAGGGCTCCTTTAATTGAAAGATCAAACGTATATGGGGCTGGGACTACTTACCCACAGAGGCTTGCCTAAACATTCAACTATAGCCCAAATCTACCTGACTGTGTTCTGACAGCTCCTGATAAATTCATTTTATTAGTGCAAAGTTGTGATCTAACAAAGATTGTTGTCAGGCCAGGGTGGAGATTTGTTTAACTAAAGTAAGTAAGATTTTTTTTAAATTTAACTCATCCTGTTAAACTAGAATTGCCCAGCCTACCATTATTCAACCAAGTGCAATATCAAGCCATTGCTCGCTGTCACGCTGGCTTTTGTATGCTTAACACTGGCACTGACCTGAGATGCCTGAACAAACAGTGCTGGTTGTGGTAGCTTTGAAACCCCCAACCCCCCTGGCCTATTCTCAACATAGTCTTTTCTTTTGAAGTACCATTAGAAGGATTTTTTCCTCCGGCTCTATGACTGGGCTTTGCCCTCTCCCTGTAAAATACTGTGGTTTCCCCTGCACGCTGCTGCTGGGGCCGGCGGGTTGTTGGCTTATAGGGTGACACTCCCCAGAGCAGTGTGAGGGCTTTCATCAGGCACATAGGCCAGCTCTGTCGCAGCGAGCCATATATCAGTCAGTGAAACGAGAGGGAAAATTGGGATAGAATGGATGAATTTTTACACAGGGAACTTCCTGACCACTTTGTAAAAGGCTTTTATTGTGTCACTCAGTGCTAAGCTTTTACTGGAGTGAAAAATATGCAATATATAGCTCAAGGCTTTCTAATTTCCCAGGTTTCTGCCACTTGGGACACACTGTCACATTTCCAACTTCTGGAGTTTATATTCTATTGACCCAGTTGGACAAGATACTAACTTTATGATGGGGGTGCAGCTTTTTCTGGTACCAATTAGAAGGCCGTCCTTCTTGTTAATATGTAGTGACAATATGTAGACTGCTTAACCTTCCCTGTCATGAGAAAATTATTGCCTGTATGTATGAAAATATTCACAGCCACAGCGTGTTTTTGATCTACCGTCTTACATAAGCAACTTCATGACAGATGAAATGTGTATGTACTTAGTTAATATAATTGAGCCAATCCCTCAGTAGCAGGCTTTGGTGAATGTTTCTCTCTTGAGTGATTGGGTATATAACATGCGTGTAATCAGTAGCAGAAAGGCATAAGCCATGTTGCAAATGCCACATAATGAGGATTTGATAAAACTCTTGTGACTTTGATACTCTTCATCGTTTATCTTCAGTGAGCGGGTCTTAGAGGTTTTTTATTCTGCTCCTCTCTGCTGACTTCCCAGTCTGTGTTGAAAATCTTTTGACTTTTATTTTGTGTTTCCTTTCGTAGAACTGTATGGTTTTGATGTGCTCATTGACTCCAACCTCAAACCCTGGTTGTTAGAGGTGAACCTTTCTCCCTCCCTGGCCTGGTGAGTGGCACTGTCTTAATCTCAGTTATTATGTTGTTTCAGCAGAATCTCTTACTTTAATTGTATCTTTTACCAAAGGGTTTCTCTTAATAATTTGCAACCAAAAACAAGAGGTTAATAGAATTCCTCACTGAAGGAAATTGTACTCATTATTAGTTTGTAGAAATGTATCCTCAGGTTAAAGATGTTGTTCAAATGTTGTTTTCCCTACCAAATCTGTATCTGTATCTTATGACTGTTATGACTCATTTTGCTTTACCCTGTGCATGTGTTGTAAATTTAATCTTTTTTTTTTCTTTGTTGTTTTTTTAAAATTGACTTATTTACAGTGATGCGCCCTTGGATCTGAAGATAAAGGCCAGCATGATTGCAGACATGTTTTCGCTTGTGGGTGAGTGCATGCTGAAACAATGACTAAATGCAACTTCCATTTGATTCCAAGGTTTTGCTGAAGTGATTTCAATTCATCGACATCCATTTCGTACAAATCCACTGCTTATAACTACATGTTCAAATACATTACACTCGTAAATTATATGCTGGTGAAATATAGTACATCAAATAAGAAAAAACAAGTTCTATTATTAGCCAGGCATAAATAACAAGAGGAGGAAAAACTGGTTAAATACAGCACATTAAAAGTCAATTAAAAATGCAGAATTAAGCTGGAACATCTGGATTTCAGCAGAAGTTAGTTACACTGATATCAAGATGTTCTTAGATATGTAAAGCTTATATTTCTGATTACTCATACTAAAAAATAAACAAATAATAGGTAAAAGATTTTAAAAAAACATTCATTGCAAAATTGTGAGATGAAGATACTGACTTTGGAGAACCTCATGTAAAATGAAAAGAGCAGTTATTATACTGTATTTCTTTCACTAGTCTTGAAAGAAGGAGAAGCAGGTGGAGAAGCAGGTGGTCGTCTATTGTTTAACGTTTTCCTATATTCCGCTGGTTGAGTTTGTGCGAACTGCTAAAAATAGCTGTATGGCTTCATAATGGGAGTTCCAGTGTTGATAGAATGAACTACAGCCTTCATTAATTAACATTAAATGACTTGCAGACAAAATTGTCAACGTAGGCCTTAGTTGTTTTGTAGTCATTAAGCTTTCCTGAGAAACTGGATCCGACATGTCAAAATAAAGCAATCTTTAGCGTGAAGAAATCAAGAAATGCCAGGCCCAAGGCAGAAATAAACACTGTTTATACAACGGTGTTTGCATCAGGGAATGAGATGTGTCTCTGTTATGTTTCTTCCCCTCTTAATTATTGAATTATCATAGAGGAAAAAGAGCTTAAAATATTTTGTGATATGTAAGTTTAAACCAAGGAGAATCTCATATCCTGACCACTAACACATTTAGTCTGAAAGCGTGTTAAAAGCACACATGTAGTAAAAAAGAGACAAATTCTAACCCAACTTTCACGTTTCTGATCTGATCTCTGATTATTTTACTTCACTTAATCCTCTGATTTATCCCTATTACCATTCACAGGATACATGGAGCCCACTGATTAGCAGGCGTCCATCTGAACTGGCATTGCACCATTAAGTCTATCTGTGGTTTCAGCCTAATGATATTAAAGGAATGGCTATTGTGTGTGTGTGTGTGTGAGTGTGGTGTGTGTGTGTGTGTCTGCATTTGTGTGAGTGCACATATCTACATGTGTTTCTCAGCCTAGGCCATGCTGTGGCTTGAATCCCTCCCCTCTGGCTCATTAAATGAAAGAGTAGAGTCATAAATTGCCAGTTATCTTTGGACTGAGACGTTACTGCGGATCTGGGGAAAATGAGCAGTGGCATGTAAAACATAGCACATCTATTATGTACCAAACAAACTAAGTCGCCGTTGGCTGATAACACTTGGGCCACATCCCAGACCTGTAAATAATGACAGCATTGCATTAGCATTTATTTTCCGCCTGTGTGTAGCTGTCAGCTCCGTGTCGCCCATGTTTGTAATAATTGCTGTGTTTAGGCAAGAGCATGGCAGGGGCCTGATGCTTACCTGACGGCTTGGATGAGGTAGCACAAATAGCCTCGAGCTCCAAGCTGTCAATAGATTTAATTCATCTCAACTGTGACGGCAAGATACAACATAAACATATTTCTTTAACGTTTGGCTTTTACCACTAGTTAGCGTTGCAGGAGTGTGGGAATTAATAAACAGATCATAGATCTGGGTGGGAACATTCTAGTGGCAAATGTGAATTGCAAACATTTTCCACACCCTTATCAACTACCAATGAGATGCACTAAAATCTAAATGTGTGAAGCTGTGTAGTGAGTAAGTGTCACTATAACATATCCTACATAAAATGTTGAATGAATAGTTTTGTGAAATATGTTTGTATTTTCTTTCTGGCAGAGAGTCAGATGACAAGATTGATACAACTCTCATGTCTGTCTGTTATATATGTGAGGCTACAGCCAGCAGCCTGGTAGCTTAACTTAGCATAGAGACTCGAAACAAGCAGGAACGACTATCCTGGATCTGTCCGACGGTCACAAAATCCACCTACCAGATCCTGTACAGCTCACTAATTAACACATTTTGCCTGTTTTTTTTTTTATGTAAGTTTATAAATGACAATCTGTTGTTTTATGAGGGGTACGAGCTCCAACCTCCTAAAGTCGCCTCTGATTGCCTGGCAACCTCTCTCAGAGACAAGAAATAGTCTGAGACGTAATCCACCATAAAACATTGAATTGTTGTTTTTACACTTTGGTCTTGTACAGAAAAAAACAAAAAACAGACATTATGTGTCAATTAGTGAGCTTTATGGGTTATCTTTAGACAGAGCCAGGCTAGCTGTTTCCTGTAATTTCCACTCTTTATGCTAAGCTAAGCTAACCAGCTGTATAGCTTTATATTGAATGGACCGATATGAGAGTGGTATTGATCCATCTATTAGCTATTGGCAGGAAAGCAAATAAGTGCATTCCCCAATATGTCAAACTATTCCTTTAGCAATGTCAGTGGTTCACGTGAGGGGGCTGTGGTTGTCTTCCTCTTCTGACTAAAAAGTTATGAAAACAAATCTAATGGATTTAGCATGATATTGTTAAAGATATAGTTGATTTACATGTAATTTATTACCTCCGTGTCCCTCGCTCTACTTTGGTTTCTTGCACTAACGTCGAAGATCTGATGCAATGTTTGAAGATCATGGGAATGAGTAACATATTTAAGACCTGATGTCATTCATATACCCCTTTATGGCTCTTCTGTGTCCCCGCAGGCTTTGTGTGTCAGGACCCCCTATCGAGACAGCCACGCTCTGACCGAGTGACCCTGGACCCCAGTCTCAAGCACCCAGCAGCCCAAAGAACACAGGTACTGGATGCACACACACACACCAACACCACACAGCCCACCACACGCCCCGTACACCAGCAAAAGCAAAGCCAAGTGTTGCACTCATTCACCCTTCCTTGTGAAACATTCCCATTCTTGTCTTCATCTCTCTGTTGCTTACAGTACATTCCTGCCACTGCCATCGAGCCCTTCGTTTACCCTCATGGAAAATTCACTGTAATGCAAAACAACTGCTAATGTAATTACAGAGTTTGAGTGACATCAGTTTGTAAGTGCTACACTCTGTGGCTTATTGTTTTATCATTTCTAATCAAGTGACTAATGCTTTCTCTAGGCCTTGTTGCCTAATGATGCCACAACAGCTAATGCACTTGGCTCCCTCCGCTTGACTACTGCACCCAGATTTGGCGCAGGACCTGCTGGAGGGAGATTACTAAATCAGACAGATTTCTGCTCCACCTTATATTGTGTAAAGGGTCTGTTTAGACATACAGTACAATGTTTCTTTGTTGCATGTTTATGTAGCATGCTTTCTGTCTGCATGCAGCTTCGTAAAGGTTAATCTCTCTTCACCCATTGCCTCTTAGAAACCTCTTTCTGCACCGACAGCCACTGCACGCAGCAGAGTGGTGAGTTTTCGTCCGACTCAGACATATTAATCTTCTTTTGTCTTGTCCCTTCTTTGCAATCCCCTGATGCCTGTTACTTTACCGGTAAGAAATCCCTTACGGCTTTTTGCTTATTTGATTATGTGGCTTGACTATTTTTCATAGTGCCAGACAGATTGCTTGTATCGATTCCTAATGCTATATTTAATAGAATTCTCATTACATTAGCGAAGTGGCCTTAGGAAGTAAGTGCTTTAAATGCTGCAATGCACCACTTGACCCAAAACTCAGAAACTTTGCTGTGCAGAGTCTCCAATACTCAGACTGACACTAAACCAGGGCTGCCACAGAGGCTGTTGAAGAAGTCCAGGGGCCTTCAGAGAACCTGTCCTCTTGCTTTACTCTGATTAAGGGCAACGGCTGAGTCTTTTTCTGAAGGATTAGGCCTTGTAACTTTTTGGCTGCCTGTGTATCCCCCCAGCCGCGTCAGACAAATTAAATGTAATCCCCCTGCTATTTAGATGACAAATTCTGTATGTGATCCTGTGGGGTTGTGCCCCGTAGTCTGGCCCAAGTTCCAACCTGCATGCCAAAGATGTCAATCACAGCCTGGTAGTGCATACAGCGGGGAGGCAGCCAGGAATGCCAATGTATAACAAAAATGCTCCATTTATGTGACAGGGAGAAGAGAAGAGAGTGTGTCTTTTGTTAGAAAATTTGTAGTTTGCACATTTTTACTTTATAAATGAGAGTTCTTACAACCTTTCAGCATATTGAAATTATTATTATTATTTTTAACACTGGCAAATATTTATCTTGGATAGAGGAATGACAGGACATAGTTGTTATTGGTTTGTAGAGACATTTTCTCTACTCTTCTCCCCTACAGCGGCAGAGATCAGCATCAGCCAGCAACTCAGAAACAGAGGGGTCGAAAGACAAGCAAGGACCTAAACAAGGCCAAGGAGATAGCACCCTGAGCTTGACTGCTGAGGAGGTGAGGCCTTAGCAATGGTCACGTGTGATATCGTCTGATTCTGTTGAATTAAGACATTATGGGAACTTGAAGGTACATGAACTCTTTCAGAACATGTCTTTTGTGTTCTTTTACTTTTATAGATCAAAGTGCTGAGGAGGATAAAGGAGGAGTATGAGAGACGAGGAGGCTTCATTAGGATCTTCCCCACCGCAGAAACGTGGGAGCTGTATGGGTAAGCTGAGCCATGAAGGAACAGACAGCTCACTTGTAATCCCCAAGGGGTGTTTGTCTGTAATGTTACTCATTATAAATACTGTCTTCAAATGAGACATTAAGGCTCAATCAATGTAATCTGTGCCAGACCGTACGACTCCTCTTGGCTGTCAGTAATTGAACCACCAGACTAAGGTGTAACTACGGATGTGGTATTTGTTGAACTGTGTGTATTATGTTCCAAGAAAGGCTTATGTACCACAGTGACTTTATGTTGAAATAGCACTGAAGCCCCTATTAGAGAGGAAATACACTTTTGTGCTTACAATTCATATTCCTATATGAGGATTTGTTGCTTGATTAGATCCATGGCTCTCTAAGCAGCAGGGATTTTGTGGCATTTTTAAAAGTATATTATTGAGCGGTCTGGTGCATTTAATATTGTCTGCTTCCAGAGTAGCTTCATCACAAAAGCCTCATTTTAACACATTTGCCTTAAATAATGAAGTCGAGGCTCCTGCCTTTATGATTATTGTAATTTGCTTATTATCTTCTTCTCTCAGTGGATATTTGGAGTCCAAGACATCAATGAACTACATGTTGGCAAACAGACTTTTCCATGGAAGGTAAGCATTTCCATTGTGGTTGGGCTTGGGGAATGAATCTCTCCATCAGTTTGTGGAAACGGTTGGATTCTAACATGGCGTTTGTTTGGTCTTTTGATTGGATAGGTGAGAGGCACAGCTGAATAGATGTTGCACAGTCAACCTTTCCAGTGCGTGCCCAATGTGTATGTGGCAATGTGGTGACGATTTGGGGGCAGCAGGGGAAAGACGGTTATATATGAACTGTGCCTATTTATTGAACCACATTTTTGTTATTGTAATACAACGTGCATTTATGTTATTTGAATCAGTATGAGCTTTCAAGTTTTAACCACAGCTTCAGACTATTGCACAATATCGTCTGGAGATTTGGACCCCAACTAAGTCCATCTATGATTTTTCCATATTCGTTAGTTAGCCAGATTAGGGGAACGATTGTTGCTGTAAGACCTCAGTTGCTGTTATTATTTGCCATTTATCCTCTCTCCTTTGGACCATCACTGTCTCTCGCGTCAACTTCTGGACAAGCTACTCAACCACACTAATCTTTCTCAGAACTGGCTTCAGTTAACGTTGAAATTTATAACTATTGCTCTGCTTTGTAATTGTTGATGATACACATATAAATCATTATAGTTGTTGTTATTCCCATTGTGTTGACATGTCTTGTTCTGTCTCTCAGGAATGTGAACGGGAATGTGCAGCTGCAGGTGGACGCTGTCCATGGCTGTCACGTAGTCCAGTATGAGAGGAAGCTGCTGTCTCTGGAGGCACGTAAGAGGAGACAGCGCCACCTGACTCATCGCTCTGCTGCAGGGAAGAAGAAATCGGGTAGGCTTGATGTGCTTTGCCTCAATTAATTTTCTGCTAAAACTGAGGAGAGTGTAGCTAAGTGGGACAACATCACATGCTAATGCAATTTTGTTTCCAATAAATAACTCCCCTGTGTCACGCTAAGGTTGGCCAAATATGACTCTGAATGAGTTCATTTTATTGCAGCAACAATAAAAACCCTATTTTGAGTCTATGTGTGTATTTTATCCAAAATGCCGGTGATGAAACTAACATTTTTCTTTCCTTGTAATGCTGTATACCTCAGGGAAGGAATCCAAGGCCTCCCCGACTGCAAGCAGCAGTCAGGAGGGAGAGGAGTGTGTGCAGCATGAAAGACAAGTCCTTGAGCCGGTCTCACATAGGGCTTTGGTAGCAGAGCTAAGAAAACAAGTGGCCACACCACTGGAACGCTGCCACAGTGAGGCTCTGTCCAGCTCAGAGGCGGCAACGCACAGTGCCAGGCCAAGAGTCAACCTGCTCAACATCCTCCAGCAGGGGTGGGACCTCAGGTCAGTCTGTAGTCTGGGCTGCTGCTGTCATCTCTCAGGAGAAATGTGAAGTGCACTAGTGCAACTACAAAAGAGGATGAGAAGAAATTGAAACTTCTTTTGTTTTTAAGTATTACTCTTGTGTACCTACAGTCAAAATGCAGGTTTACTGGTGATTCCTCAATCTAAAAGGACTGATGGCTCAATCAGTTTTGAGCAAGAGTAGATATAAGAACCATCATAAGAGCTTTGAGAGGTTTGTGATGGATCTGCAATAAATGAATAATACATTCTAATCTATTCTAGGGTAGCTACAGCATGAATTATAATGAAGAGTGAAGGAAGCTGTGGTTCATATAAACATACATGATGCTTTCCAAATTGGTATAAAAACATCTTCACTTAATTTAAGTAAAGATACTACTATACTGTCAAACACATATGACACGCTGTATATACTTCTGTACATGAGTGCAACAAAGACTGTGGTCTGATGTTGATTTTAAAAGTGTGGCTGAAATTATAATTTGAGGAGGAATTACAATAACATGTCTGACTTTGTAGAAATTCCTCAGTGCTTGCCAGGACTGTGCATGAAGCAGGGAAATTATAGTACAGCATATCATTGTTTGTGTTTGACAGCTTTTTCCAAAACATATTTTTTTTTCGACTACAATGTTCTGACAGTACTCTTTCCAGGTTCACCTGGGCTACAAAGACAGTTTATCATTTTGATAGCGGTACAGGACAAGATACACTGTGTTTCAACAACTTTTGGCTGAAAGTGATACATACTTGTTTTTGCTTTCTCTCGTTTTCTGGATGATATCTCAACAAATGGAATGAGTACAACTGCTTGTTCTATCTGTTGTAACAGATGTTACAGATCACAGATTTCCAATACAACTTAATAGTCTTTACTGTCAGTTTCAAACAAACTAGCAGAAGATCTAGGGGATAATGTTTATCAACTGTTGTTGAATCTTTCCTTTACATTGCTTTACATATACAATTATTGATACATTTCCTCTCTCTCTCTCTTTTTCTCTTTCTCTCTCCAGTAAAGTTCAGGCCCGGATGGCCTTTTCCTCATACCTGCAGCGAGTCCAGCAAAGACTGTTGGCAGAGAGCAGGGCCAACAGCATCCCAGCTTGGCCAGACAAGGACAATGACCAAATGGTACAGTGATAATACTTTTTTAATCTCCTTGTCCTGATAAATGGACACTGTTGGAATACCCTGGGGCATTGTTTCCCTCATATGTGTATATACATGCCAGATTTCCCCTTATTATTATTCTGTTACTCATATGTACCATGGCTGTAGCTGAAATGTGTACAAGGCATTTGTGGCCACATAGAAGGAAAACGTGGTCTCTGTAAAAGTTAGCCTGATTGGAAAGTCTACATTGTAATGGCATACATCATCATCATCATCATCAGTGACCTCAAACCTTTGGGGAAAATCAATGTGAACTTGTGAAGTCGATCTCTAAGCCATTAAATTCAAAGGTCTCAGTGTTTTATATGGCATTGAACGCTGAAAGGAGAACACACAGGCAGCTCAAATAAGTGCAGCAGGACGAATCAGTGATTCAGGGCAGTGATAATAAAAGATCTCTCATAAATGTTTTTCGTCTGCACAGGAGCTGGTGATTCGCTTCCTAAGAAGAGCAGCCAGTAACCTTCAACAAGACATAAAGGTGGTCTTGCCCAGTCGCCAGCTCCCGCTCCAAGACCGCAGACGCATCCTGTCCCACCAGCTAGGGGAGTTTATCCACTGTTACAACAAGGTATTCCCAGACTTCGGCCTTTCCACAGAATTACAATTCTAAGAAATGATGCAAACACGGGAAACATTGTGCATATTGACTATACCTGCTGCGTTATTCTTTCCTATCTCATCAGGAAACTGAACATATGGTGAAAAAACAGGAGAATAGCAAAGAGGAGCATTGTGTTAACCCCAGTGTGTTTCAGGAGTACATCACTGCAGCAAGGTTAGTGAATTGGCAAGCTCACTTACTATTGTTCAGCGCTTGTCTCTTTAGTGTTCCAGTTATATATGCTACTGTCTTAAGAGTGCTCTCAATCTGCTATACACATTTATCTTCTGCCCCCCCCCCCTTTTTTTACAGTGAAAACGATCTGGAAGAAGTACTGACATTCTACACACAGAAAAATAAATCAGCCACTGTCTTCCTCGGAACAAAAATCAGGAGTGTTAAAAACGGCGTTCATGAAGTAAATGCCTCAGGAGATTCAGGCAACTGTGAGAATTCCAAAAGTGAGTTGCCTCTGTGGGTGTTTTCCCCTCATATTCTTGTTACTATGTGTCTGGGTTATGTTTAATATTTTATCATTGAAGTACAGTAAACAGGAATTGTTTAGATTTGTTGTACCAAAAAAAGCGAAAGGGAAAAAGATTGAGTCATCTGAGGTGAATTAAGGGTCAGCTTCAAACGATTAGCGCTCATTGGGGGAAAACAAATGTGTGTCAGAGCAGAGGAATGGCTAACTGATGATAAAGGAGCTCTGGCCTCTTTCCTCCTTTGAACAGCTCTGCCTGTGGCCAAAAAGGATTCCAGCACTTCGGAGTCCTCGCTCTCCACAGGGAAAGTCAGCAGTGACCCAGACATCAAGGCCACTGAGAGTCAGCCTTCTGTCCGTTCTTTGCTTGAAGACCAACTGACAGTGGTTAGAACTGGTAAAACCCAGCCGGAGGTCCAGTCCTCCCAGCACTGCTCCAGCTTCCCTATGACTTTGGACTGCACAAATATTCATCTGCAGCACTGCTCTCCTACCCTGACGTCCCTGCCTCTCCATTGCCCGCCACCGCCACCACCTCCTCAGCCGCCGTCCTATGCACAGTCCTTGGCAAAGTCTCACTTCTGCCACTCTGAGCCTCTTTCTGACCCTCCTGCATACACCTCGGCCGTTGTGGTCACACAGCCCCCGAGAGCAATGTGGACAGCTGTTTCCAGTGGCTCTAGCACAGTCTCCACTGGGCAACCAACCCAGGTGCTCAGGAGGATTCAGTCCTTCACCTCATCGACGTCCAGCTCTGGAGCAGCTTCTTCAATCCCGAGTGCCACGCACATCTATACCCAGAAGCTCTCTAGACCAACCTCAGCAGGCCAAGGTAAACTCACTATTGTACACACTGTTGTTTATCAAACTCCCTCCTATGTTTTCATTGTTTGTCTTTTGTTATTCTGTATGTCAGTGATCAGGAAGAACAGCTCCAGTAAGATGAAGTCAAACTCAGTTGGGACATTTAAGGAGTTAAACTCCTTGTCTGCCCAAGCCCAGTCTAACCAGCAGGCCTTCATCTCAGCCCTGCAAAAGCTAGCCGACAAGCAGGTTGCTCGCCACTATGCCAGCTCCAGTCACATCAACCTGCTGACACAACACGTGAGTTTGTTTGTTCGTATGTTTTCAACCTCTATAGCCCACTGAGCCAATAGCTACTCCCGCCTGCGGGAGCTACTCCCTCTTGCAGGAAGATGCACTGTGTGTGAAGAAGAATCTTTGTTGAGTTATTAACTAACTGTAAACTGATCTGTTTAATGTTTCATGTAAGGAGGAAGACTCTGGCCCCTATGCAGTAGTCTCTCACTGTGAGGTCTCTGATATTTCTCTTTGTTGATGTGTAAACCTGGCTCTGACCCCATGCTGATTGGCGGCATCTAGCTGCTCATTCATTCAGCAGACCTGTTGGAGCCGGAGGGTCTGCTGCCTCGTACCGTGCACCTTCCTCCTTCAGCCCTCAGCTCGCCTGCAGCCTGTGGGCTGGAGTTGATGCGGGGGTGGGTCTGGAACCGGGGTTTGAAGCTGGCTGGCCTAAACAGTGGTGAGCCGCATCAAACCTCAGCTCCGTGTGAGGTCTCATTATCAGATGCACCATGGGGGAGTGATTTCTGTTGATACTTAACAAGCAGCCACTTTTTTGTGGTAATTGATGCTTATAAATAGAGGAATGTGGCAAATTGGCACCGAGCAGGGGAGCGGCAGCTCCGTTGGCTCCATCACCACCTTCTCCTATATTCCCCAAAGGTTTGTCATTCTGTGTGGGGAGCCCCTCAACCTTTACTCCCTCCTCCTCCTCCTCTACCTCGCTGGATTTTTTCTGTCAAAGTTTTTTTGTGATGGCACCAGACCACACAGACTGCAGATTTTATGGCTTCCTTTTGACTGTACATTATTCTGTCTATCTGAAAGGTGTTTGCTGTATTCCATATGAATAGTTAATCCTTGGTTTGGCAGCAGTTTATTTTGCAGTTAAATAGTCCAGTGTTTTGCACTTAAAGGCTTTTTTTAGTGCTCAGATTTGAAGTCATTAAATCACTTGCTGAACTAAGTGGAGAACTTTGTAAACATGAACAACACCCTGTAACACTAGTTGACCTCTAAGGTTTAAGTAATTACTCACTCTCATGCTAGGCCATATGTATACAAAAACTGAAATTGAGTAAAGCCAGGTATATTATAAGCCAGGTGAATGTACTCCTGTGATGCATGGATATGATGGTTAATCCTTCCAGCTTGTGTGTGTATGTTTATGTCCAGTATATTATAAATTATTATTATTATTATTATTATAATTATAAAGACAATCCTTGTGACACTCTGTCTGAATCACACAAGCCAGTGTACGTTTGACATGATGGCTATTATATACACTGGAGGATGGTAGCTGTGCCTCACGTGGTAAAGAAAATTGAATTTTGATCTCTTAATGTGACATATGATATATGACATTTTGTCCAAAAGCCCAGCAATATTGGCACCCACACGTGTGTTTTCATTTCCTTAGTTTAAATCAAACAGTTTGAATGAATACAACCAGTATACCTTAATGGGTAACTTAGAGCTATAGCTGTGTAACACTATGCTGACACATTTTTCACATTGTACAAGGTTTGGCAGCATTACAATTTTCCCATTGGACATTTAGTGCACCAGAGGAAATAAAGTAAATAAAATGCCACAGCAGTATAATTAATTCTCCCATTAGATTTCGGTGAAGATAATTCCCAGGGTAGCGCAGTGCAGAGGTACAGTTGCTACAATAGTCCTGAGCTGTTGACTCATGATAGCTGATTCTGCTAGAGATGGAAGAGAGGGGGGAGGGGACCACCTGGATTTAGTGCTGAGTGGAGACTAGCTCTGCCATGTGCTGTGTGTACATTTCACATAGCCCCCAGATACAAGAGAATGAAGTGGTCGATGTAGGGAGGAACACAAGTGCTTATTCATCAAACATTTCCATTGCTTTAGGCAATGGGATGACTGTTAGGGAGATGTTTGGTTGACGTGACTTAACTTTTGTGTTTGAGTTGAATCATATGTTGAAGTTTTCTCCTCTTCCCACAGTTGACCAACCTGAACCTGACCAACAGGATGCTGAGCAGAGAGAGCTTCACACTGAACCCTAAAGTGCAGCGTACTGCTGCTCCAACCCACGGGCCAGTGAAAGCTGTTCACTCTGGAACAGATCTATGTAGCCGCACTGGGTGAGTCCAAAGACTTGTAGCATTTCCAGGCAATATTTTGGTCTGATTTAAACAAAGCTGTAATACATAACTATGGACGAAAATGGCATTTCAAAAATACCTTTCCTGCCTTTATTAAGTGGATCAGAAATGACTGGTCCTCATTAAATGAGGTTCCATTATAAAATTCAGTGTTTCAACTTACAGTTTCAATAATTCAGTTTTAGTGCCACAACAATCCCATCCTATGGGTGCCCTTTGCTTAACCTAACCAAAAAACATCATGCTCAAACTGTGAAACAAATATTCTCCTCTCATAAGGAAAGAAATACACAGCCCACACCCAACTTTTATCAGCATTTTTGATTGGTCCCATTCAAACATTTTAGAACAAAATTTAAATAAATTGCATAAATTGCTCTCGGCTGTTATCTCTAGTTATGTAGGCTAGATAACTACAGTAATTTGCTCAGTTGCAGCACATTAAACTGCCTGTAAACTTACCTTATAATGTAATTTGGTCCATTTAGATGTTGGTGTGGTCCCTTGTTAATTACAGCGCAAGGGCAAGGAGGATATTTCCCCCTTTTTTTTTTCCTTTTAATAATAAGAAACTATTAGCAATGCATTTAAACAAAACATTATTTTTGACTGCAAAAAGGGATGCTTAAATGTTAGGGCTGCTCCCGAGTAAAGATTTTAATTATAAGGCCAATTGTCGACTAGTCGTAGCACGTTTATGATATCAATTTAATAATTGAAAAATATATATTTTTACAAATGATAATGAAAAAAAAAGTAATCTGAACTTTTAGTCCATTTATTTCAACACAGTATAACATCACACAGTCTCACACAGTGTGTGAGAGTCATAATAGTCCTGTTCAGAGCCGCTGTAAATCAGCTGGCCTCTGTTGGTCCACTCTGCTTCAGTTCTGTCACTCATTCTGGTTCCTTAGCAGCATTCCCAGCTGGGTCCCCCCACTCCTACGCTAGTGACCTCCCCTGTCCTTCGAGCTCCCAGTCTGGGTATAGTCAGCTAATAGGACTGCTAACTAGCTAGTGGCAGCAGCTAGTACAGTTAGCATATGCAACAGTGCACCAGTAAGTGACTCCCTGTGTTACAAGAAAAAAGGACCTTGTTGCAACAATCCCCTGATACGATTCACCCTTGGTGACAGGCACAGCGTTTGTTTTTGTGGGTTGACTAATACTATTCTCAGTGACTAACGATTAAGGTCGCCTGTGGGGGCAGCTACCTGAATATAATTCAAGTTGGTCTTAATATATTTTTCCTATTTATTTATTACAATTGTTGCAGTCCTTCTCTAGTTACTCCACACCATCTTGGCCACTTTATAAGTCATCCAGTGCTCGCTTTTGATTTCACATTGTGCTCAACATGTACTTCTTAACCCTCCCCTGAGGCAGTAGAGAAGGGGAATAGTGTGTTACAGTCTTAATGGGGTTCACTCTTCACCTCCCACTCGAGGTAAACAGCAATTTCTCCTCTGAGAGCCTTGAGTTTTGAGATGCTCGCGCCTGACGTGTACACACAGACACTGAGTTAGTATTCACACGTCATTCTTTGTTTTTAGAATCTGAAATCCTGTTCTTTTTCATTCTGAGATTGTTGGGTTTCGAAAGATTCAGAAAAGCCTGTTTGCCGTATTAATATCCTTCACTAAAGTGATGTCCTGAGGATTTTCTGTGAAACTTTACACTGTAAATTGTACGATTGTGCGTAGCTTATTTGGTCCACCGCTCAATAGAATCTAAAGGCTTTTTTTAATGGTCTCCGTGACGACTTATTTAGATTTGAAGATTGTTAGTCTTCTGGAAAAAGGATTGCAAGAGGTGCCAACCACTCCCTCTGGGCAGGCTAGTTCAATATGTGTGTGAAATGGGCACTTTTGTTACTTTCTTAATTGTGCTTCTGTGACGGTAAGTAACAGTAAGTTTGGCTGCTGGAGTGCTGGGAGTGTGTCCAAGCATGCTGCAGCCTTAAAACATTGCGTTGGAGGTCGGTGGTGAGGGTTGGGGGTAGTGGGGGGGGGGGCAATGTCAACACCCACATTGTCTGTCTGCTCCAGCCTCTTGCCCCTGTAACTGTTCAAATCCCCCCCACATTGCTCTGAGGAGAGAAGGAAGGAAACTGGAATATGATCACACGGTCACACTGGTACCAGGCCAAGATATCAGCTACTGAAGGTGTAATTCATTGGTGGGGTAAGCATCTATGGTCCCTCCCCTTTTATTTTTGTCTTGATATGTGAGTGACAGTGTCTCAGACAGCTTGGCCTTGATGTTGGACCTGTTTTTCCATTTCAGCCCTTCCTTATGTATCGAGCTGTCAGGGAATTCCAGGAATGTCTGGCCTTTTCTCTTTTTAAAATATTTCCACTAACCAAGAAGAGAGATTTAATAGAATTTATAATTTTACAGAGGAAACAGAAGTCACCTTTTGATCTCCCATTTCAGTTTAGAGCTTTAGCGCTTTGAAGGATCATAATATTTCTTCTCTGAATTTATCATTTGTCATTACCTTTAAATATTTCTGCCTTTCCATATATTGTTTTGGCACTTAGTCCATCTGAAAATACATTTCAGGTTAATGATTCAAAGAAGGAGGGATATCCATAATACAGTAGCTTTTGTTAGAAAGCTTATTCTAAATCTCTCCAGAGAATACATAGCTCCCTTTATCTTCCAGTTTGTCACTGGCTTGCAATACAAAAAGCTCTATTATACCCCAGTACTCCCAGCCCTGGGTTTGGCATTCATCTCTTTTTGCAGTGAAATGTCCTTAATACGATATTAGGATAAATTGCCTTGATTTCACCTCTGCACTGTTTCTTATAACACACACACACCCCACTTGGGCTGATGGTTTGTGCCAAACATACTGAAACTGTTAAGCACACTGGCTCTTTAAGCAACCACAGGGGTGAAGTATGATGGGTTTCAAAGAGTAGCACAGCTCTTTGAAGTGCCGCTGCCAGGATCTACCAGGTATGCTGCATCAGCATTTTGAGAGCTGCTGCTTCACTCCCCTGCATGTCTTCATACACCCACCGGATCATTTCCGTTGTTGGACCTCCTGATACGTTTATGATCATTTCCATTCAACGTACTCATGAAACGATGTGAGCAGTTTTAAACACTGAGAGAACAGACAGTCAGACACACAGACTACAGTCAAACAGCTACCAGATTGTTGTGTTTGGTTACTTCTATAAATTTTCAGACAAGTTGTCTAATTTGTAAATGTAATAATTTGGTAATTTTAGTAACATCTTATTTTTGGCTGATTCATCTTAGTTTTGAGTGATTTAGTTTGCTTTTAAAGTTGTGGTTTGAGTTTGTGATGGAGCTCCAACTGTGTCTTGTATTAGTCATATGAACACTCTTGTGTCTTCAGCTCCATTAGCATCCTGGCTGCAAAAACACCGCCCCCATTTTCTTCTCTATGTATGTACAAATGTCCAGAAACTATTATCTTCGCAGTGTTACGTTCACTGCAGCCAAGGTACAACTGAGAAATACCACAACCCTGTTTATGCAGGGTATTTTTAGTCCTGTTCAATACTTTGTTAAATTGATGTTTGACTTGGTAAAATTTTGTAAGGACATACCGCTCCAAAAGACTTTATGACAGCCCATTTGCTGAACCAACCCAACTAATCAGAAACTCTGGTGAAGATTCAAAACTTCTTTGATGGGGGACATGGTTCCCACAAAATTGGTTTGATATCTCTCTTCCGTTGACTTTAAAAGAAGAGAAGTTTTTCTCATATAATTGGAAGGAGAACAGTTTAAATTCTAGTAAATGGATTTAGGTTATTCAGCAGCTACACACACATTTTAAAGCAGTACACATCCCACAGCATACAGTATTAGTATAAGTCTAATGTGCGATACCAATGAATCAGAACTGAGTTTCACCAGCCATTATTAAGTTTGTCTAAAAAATCATAGTAAGTAACGTTAAAGTAAGTTTTAATAAAACTTAGTAATGTTTTAATAAATACTAACTCATTTTAACGCTCCATTTTGTAAAATGTAGGTGGATTTATCAGCAGAAATGGAATATCATAGTCATCAGTATGTTTTCATTAGTGCAGAATCACCTGAAAATAAGAATCGTATTTTCGTTATAATTTCCAAATACATTTGTTTTTACAGGCCAAGCAATATTTAAAATGTTACTTCTTTTTTATTTTTTATTTGTCACCATCACTGTACTTGCTTACCTTTACTGTGATTGACAGGGTACACTGTACAGGGTACACACATTTCTTATCGGCATTATTTCTTAGGCAGCTCACTCATCCCTGTTGTAATTTCATCAACCTATCAGGTACCTTTGCCTTTCAGTTTTCCCCTCTGCTCCTATGAGTGTATTCATTTTATATCGTGTTCCAGATTTCTTTCTTTTTATCTGCAAAGTTATCCAGATAACTCATTAATTGTGTTTCTTGGAAGACACAGCTGGTAGTTGCAGGATCCCGTATTGCTCATCATTGCTCTAACTACAGCATCAGCATCCTTGTCTCGACTGCTCCCACAACAAATCCCCAGATGCTCATTTTTTGTATTTTAAAGGCTGCTCTATTGAGTGTCATGTTGTTGCAATCTAACAAGGCAAACAAACAACTGAGTAATGGCTGGAAATACCCTCACGCTCATGAGGCGGCTGATGTTTACACTGACCAGGCAGGGCTTTGAGATACTGTGGCATGATGTCATCTCAGACGGCCCATTTTCCCAGATTCACACTGAGTTAGATTAATGCCGCACATGTGCTCAACTTAAGCTGCTGTGTTGTTCTACAGTAAGTCATATCAGCATATTAAAGGATGGCGAGCGCAGCAGGAAGTAAGCTGACACCAACGAGCAGAAGTCCAGCAGGAAGGGAAGTCCCAGATAGTTGAAGCTCCACACATGTGCTGCACCAGTGATGAGAAACTCAGATGTAAAACTCTTCTTCTCTTTCAATTCTTTTCCCCTATTTCATTGGTCACTGTTGTTGGACTAAAAACGGTTGCTGGTTTTCAATTCATGGCGATCTGTAGTATTTTTTTGCGTGGTGTTGTGTTGACAAGCCCTGTCTGTAAAGACTTCTCCTTGGGGTCCTGCTGCGACATTGTACTCACGGAAAGCATGTGCTCTCCACTGGAGAAATAGTCAACTTTAGACCAAATGCTAATAAAATGGTAGCACTGAAGGTTCCTGTGGTCCACTATGCAATCTGCGGCCAAGCTAAAGGAAATGACTGCTGTAAACAAAGAACTAGTTTTTGTTTTGTCTCCTGGCATTGTAGAATCTCTGGGCTTGCGAGGTTCACAGACAAGCCTTTGTTTCCAGAAGCTAAAAAAAATGAATTGGCCCGTGGTCACACCAGTTGTTTTTGCAATATATATGCCATTATGTGAACTGAGAAATGCATGGGTGGATAGCATGTTCACATGGGCTTAAGATCCCTTGTGTCTTTGTTTGGCCACACAGGACAGGAATCATTTTTTCACTTGAGCGACCCAAGATTATTATCCCACAGTGTGTATTGTTGTTCAAGATTAATTGAATTCTAATTTTAGAGCTTGTCATAGTTTGGTTCTAAAAATATAGCAGCTATTGTGATTTTAAGTCTGCAGTGTTTTCTTTTACTCTAGACCAATAGACAAATGTTATTGCATGTAATGGGAGGAATTTCCAAGAACTTTTTTGTCATTATGACCCCCAGGGATCCCATTTCTTCAGCTGTAGTTGAATCTCTGTCTTTTTTTAAATTTTATTTTATATTTTTCCTCGCAGCTCCCAGTAGTGGTCTTTATGGCATTATTTTTGGCTGAGGTGGTACATATACAGCAGCACACCAGACTCCAACTAGACTCAATTTAAGCGTGTCTGAAGGCGAGGCTGGTCACCTCATTGCTTTAGCAGGGGCCAAAAAGGAAAAAAAAAAAGAGGCTGAAACAGGCTTAGTCCTAATGACAGATAATCCAGTTACAAACTCGTGGAGCTCGTCAAAAGGTTTGCTTTCCAGGTTGTGGCTTTGTGATGTGAATGGAACGTGAAGCTCGGGGAGCACTGAAGCAAAGAGGAAAGGTTTTTAGTTCAGCGTGTGTTTGCCACAGGCTTGCCCTTTACTTTGAATCTGACTTGCCCACTTTGACTTGAAGCTTCTGTGGACCCTGACTGGGACACTGTGAGCTGTCCTGTCTTTTTTACTTCTTGCCGGCGGTACGAGGCAGTTAATCAGTCACTCCCACATTCCTGCATTGGTTGGGTGGTAAAATAACTGATGAGGAAAAGATAGTAGCAGATACTGAGATATAATGGCTCACTATTGAGCCACTGAAGCTTATTAAGAAGTTTAAGATTATTAACTAGTAAGATAGATCAGCAGTAACTTGATAGTCACTTCAGTTGAGAGTACAGAAATTTAAGGAAAGGAGAGCACAAATGTCATTAATATTTGCCATCACTTACCAAATGACAAAGGTTATGCTATAATGCTATTTTGTCACACCTTTTCTTCTCTCGTCTCTTCTCCTTCTTTCTATTTCCCACACTATATGTTTATAGTAGTTAACCCTCACCAGTTGTATTTGCTACCATTGGATCAGTTATGAATGAATTAAAAAAATGCTTTTGCGCTAACTTTCTTTAAAAGAGTAATTTGGCATTTTGGGAAATACACTTATTCGCTTTCTTGCCAAGAATCAGATGAAAACATCTCAAAATTAAGCTACAGCCAGCTGTTAGCTTAGCATAAATACTGTGAACTGGGGGAAGAAGCTAGCCTGGCTCTGTTCAACAAAAATCTGCATACCAGCGCCTCCAGAGCCATGCTAGCTGTTTCCAGTCCTAATGCTCAGTTAAGCCAACCAGCAGCTGGCTGTAGCTTAATATTGACTTTGGGTTCCCACGCATCCTGGAAAACCTGGATATTTAGAGACTTATTTTCCATTAATTGAAACATCTGGAAATTTATTAAAATGCCCAAATGTCCTGAAAATAATCTATGTTGTCCTGGAAAATTTTAATTGTATTTTAGGCCCTTCCTCGGATTGTCTACCTATACCTAGGTTTGAGGAAAACTGTATTAAACTGTGGTCAAATCACTGGAGAGGGAAAGCGGAAAGCAAGCTCACACGGAGCGTCCCATAAACGCCGACCACCTACTTCTAGTGAACCTGTGTCACTTCATCATGTGTGTAAACTAGGCCTATCAGTAAATTATATGGCCGTTTGTGAGCCAGTGTGGAAAATTCTTATTTTTTTAAAAGTGCGAACTATGAGAAATTAGGATATTATCCAAAATGTCATATTATTCTTTTTCATGAATAATGTATTTTTCTTCAGGGGTATAAAGTTTTTTCCAACATGAGGTGGAACCTTCATAGATATTCACAATTCAGAAGAGCAAGTGGCTTTTTGTTGATTTTAATTCTCTCTCGCCCTTTACTGACTTCTCTTCATTTCTGCTCTCCAAGCCACAGGCCGCTGAAGGATGAGGAGGGTCTTTGGGACGGGCAGATGCAGAGTGCCTATAGCTTGGTGACAGGGGTAAACCCCCAACAGTGCTACCAGCCCACCCAAGGAAGCTACCAACTGCAGTTTGCTATCCAAAAACTGCAACAGCAAAGACTTCAGTCTCGACAATTTCTGGACCAGAGCCATTGCAGACACCAGGTAAAGAAGAGATTTTCGTTTGTTTTCTCCCATTATTTCATTATAAATATGATAACTGCATTCGTTATTGTTAAAGGAATACACAGTTGTCCTGTCCACAGAGCACAAGAAGCTGGTAAAGGCCTCAAGTACATGATAGCTGGTAGTGACTTTCAGACGCAGGGGTTTGAACTTTTGGTAGAAAAAATGGTTTTCCTGCTTACTACTTCCCATCATCTTTAGAAGCTATGAATCTCAACAGTATCATGTTACTTGGATTTGTTGCTGATACTATTTGAATTCCTGATGGTTTGTTCCTTCAAAATGCTTAGGCTTCAAAAGGTCTTTTTTGTTTTGTTCAGTTAGGATTTAGTAAAAAAGTTGAGACAAATCCGTTTTTCAGGTTCTTTTGTTTTTTATTGTGTCTTACTTTAATATCAACACCACATGGAGGAAAACTGAACATGTATGAGAACTATTGAGTTATAACTCAGGAAAACTCTCATATTTTTTTCTGTACAGAATATTCCCTTACCTAAGCACAGTGCCGTCCAAAATAGCACAAAATACACCCACATCAAGGGGAAAGCTTTCATGTTAGCATTTACAAAGATATTCTGAGAATCTCTTTCCAAACCACTTAACAAACCGGTGTTCGGTGGGAATATCCTCCTCTACAGAAGCTCATTCCTGGAGAGCCAAACATGACTCCTCACCCCAAGATTACATTGTTTGGCTGAGTGAGTCGGCTAGGCTTATATTGGAAGGTGAGTAATCAAGGAATGCTGCCCATGAGGGCACTAGAGAGGCCCCGGTACGAAGTCTATTATAAGTTTGAAGCCGAACCGTTACAGTTCATATCAGATTTGAGCTCCATTTGTGTTCCCATTGCAACAAAAATACAATTTTGGGATATGATTTTCTCAGCAGTAGTAATGTAGCGACAAAAAACCTTTTAGTCATGCCTGACTAGCCGTGACAGATGTGATTTGGCTGTTTTTATAGGGCTATTAGAAAGGTAGAAAGGTCTCGGTCATTTCGCACAGCATAATTTTAATGTTTAGGAAAAAAAGATAGGCCCTCCGTCTTTTAGTACAATGGCCTTGAAAGAGGATCTTAACAGGAAGAGTGTATTTCTTCATTTTCCAGAGGATTTTGTGAAGTCCATCTATGGATGGAGAGAAATTGAGACAGGAGAGTGCCATGGGACAGCTTACAGTGTGGAATGATTGGATTCACCCGCTTTTTTCCGATCTGTCCTGAGTAATGCAGTTGCTCTCACGTCATTGTTTTTTCATCATCTTGGTTGAGCCTTAATTAATGCAATTGAGGTGATATTTCTCTTGGCTTGGGCAGGCAGCCTTACACAAGGCACTTCATGAAAGTGATCCCATGCCTTTCCTGTTCCATTCCCCTTCTTATATCGTCTCATAGTCTGAACACAAATGACCAAGTTTCTTTTATTGCTGACATGTCCTGTCATACCCAAGCATGTGGAGGCAGGAAAAGCTTGTACAATCTGAAACGTTTATGTGACATTGAGGACTGCATGGCAACAGAGCCATCCTGTTGTTCAACTGTCACAAACTGAGGTCATAGGAAGGCTGACTCTGGATATGATTGTCTCACCATCAAATCAGACATACCTCCCTGAAATCATTGCCATCCCTCCCCGTTTGTTCCACCCACATGGGTCTCTCTGCCAATCTGACCAAGAAATGGATGTCTTCTATCCTGCAGCCACTTTATATATTATTTCACCCATTTTTTGACTCCAGAGGGTTTTCTTTGCAGCATACACACCTCAATTGATCTAGGAATTAGTCAATGACTTGGCTTGACTACTCTGAAGAGACATGAGAGAGGGGCTTTGCTCTTTTGGATACTAATACAACTCACATTGCTGGCTTCTCTGGCCTTGTTGAAATATTAACTGATCATTTTGGATTAACTAAAGACACAAAAGGAAGTGTTTCATTTAGTGTGAGTGCTCATGTACATATATGTGTATCAGTGTGTACTTATGTGAGAGAGAAAGAGACAGGGGGCTGTTCCGGCACTCCAGTCCACGTTCCAGTTACTGGGTGCAGACTGCGCGGCTCCTCCACAAACTTGGCCCTGGGCCACCTGGCAGCTAAAGAAAGGTGCCCTTCCTGGTCCTACTCAAACTGAATTGCGGCCATAGGGCTTGCAACCTGGAAACTCAGCTTCTCATTTATCAGCACAAAAATTACATCAGATATTCCCTGTCACATTGCTGGCCCTTTGAACGGCTGTGCTGTGAAGCTGGAAAACCATTAGCATGTTAGATAGCCGTATAAAGCTGCAGAGAAAATAGAATGGGCATGAGATGTGGAAGGAATGTATACAAAGCATTCCCCAGCACTGCAGAGACAGAGTGAAATGTGGCCCTAAAATATTATGTCAGAAGGAAAATGGTATTTTCCCCTGTTCCAAGCCTTTGAAGAGATCGCGTACAAACAAATAAATAATAATGTGAAGAATTTGCTTCTCAGTGCAGCCAACTGCAAAAAAAATATTGAGCATGTTTTGATATTGGATGGCATTTCATTAATATCTGCACTAATTCATGTCAAGCACTTTGATATAGAGCTATTATTGTAGCAAAACTATTTACAAATGTGAATGAAGAGTTGTGTAACTATATCTCAATCTGTGCGTGTATAATCAGATTTGTAAATGTGTAAAAAAAAAAAACTAATTCAGATTTGCAAATATATTGAAATTTGTAAATATGTAGACAAATGTATATATTGTATTATATATTATATTGTATATAGATCTAAAAATGTGTGGACAAATCTGTAAACGCAGACATACATATTAATGCCTGAGAAGTCTTAAGCATTTGTTCCAAATCTTAAAATACAGACACTTAATTGGTTACAATTCAGGCAGGACCATCAGTTGTCTCTTTTTACATGTGAGTTTTGCTACACCTTTGCCGTGGAAGAGATCTGCAAATGCATGTAGTGATTTGTGTGGGTGTGGATAAACTTGTCTGTGTGCCTCAGTAGCTATACAGCCTACATACCACCAGTCGGCGGGAGCGTGACATTGCTGCTGACAACAAGTCACATGTAAAAAGAGCCAATTTAGAGTCCTGCCTGAGTTGTAAATAATAACCTTTCTGTAATTCCAAATACTTAGACTTCTCATCCATTAATGTATGTCTGCATTTTTTGTCTACAGATTTGTCTACATATTTACATTACATTACATTTATCTTAATACACTTGCAAATGTGAATACAGATTGCGTGACTCCATTCAAATTCGTAAACAGTTTTGCTATAATAATGGCTCCATACACCTTAATGATCAGAGGCCACATTTTTTCCCCTATGATTAACCTATTCCAAATGTGATTGCACTTCCTTATTCCTCTTTTGGAATTGGGTTTCACACACACACACACAC